TTACATATATATCATCTAGGACACTTACTTGGGAGATGTATTAGTGGACATAAGTAAAAGGTGTTTGCATCAATCTACTCACTGAAGAAGTTACAGGCTTTTTTTTTTCTTTTTACCTTTACACTTCACTAGATGCAACTCTATGATCAATGATATGACTGTAAATTTTGCTGATGCTCTCTAATAAACTTAGAACTATAGCTTAAGATGTAATGAGTGTATTGACCCTTTTTGTGTTGATTCTAAATTATCAGGATCATTCCCCCCCTTCTTCTTATGATCTTTTAAGGTGTGTATTAATTTTAGCAGTATTTTTATGCATATAAATTCTCATCTTAAAAAGAACTAAGTATTAGTCTGTTATACGTAAAAACTTACATATATATCATCTAGGACACTTACTTGGGAGATGTATTAGTGGACATAAGTAAAAGGTGTTTGCATCAATCTACTCACTGAAGAAGTTACAGGCTTTTTTTTTCTTTTTACCTTTACACTTCACTAGATGCAACTCTATGATCAATGATATGACTGTAAATTTTGCTGATGCTCTCTAATAAACTTAGAACTATAGCTTAAGATGTAATGAGTGTATTGACCCTTTTTGTGTTGATTCTAAATTATCAGGATCATTCCCCCCCCTTCTTCTTATGATCTTTTAAGGTGTGTATTAATTTTAGCAGTATTTTTATGCATATAAATTCTCATCTTAAAAAGAACTAAGTATTAGTCTGTTATACGTAAAAACTTACATATATATCATCTAGGACACTTACTTGGGAGATGTATTAGTGGACATAAGTAAAAGGTGTTTGCATCAATCTACTCACTGAAGAAGTTACAGGCTTTTTTTTTCTTTTTACCTTTACACTTCACTAGATGCAACTCTATGATCAATGATATGACTGTAAATTTTGCTGATGCTCTCTAATAAACTTAGAACTATAGCTTAAGATGTAATGAGTGTATTGACCCTTTTTGTGTTGATTCTAAATTATCAGGATCATTCCCCCCCTTCTTCTTATGATCTTTTAAGGTGTGTATTAATTTTAGCAGTATTTTTATGCATATAAATTCTCATCTTAAAAAGAACTAAGTATTAGTCTGTTATACGTAAAAACTTACATATATATCATCTAGGACACTTACTTGGGAGATGTATTAGTGGACATAAGTAAAAGGTGTTTGCATCAATCTACTCACTGAAGAAGTTACAGGCTTTTTTTTTTCTTTTTACCTTTACACTTCACTAGATGCAACTCTATGATCAATGATATGACTGTAAATTTTGCTGATGCTCTCTAATAAACTTAGAACTATAGCTTAAGATGTAATGAGTGTATTGACCCTTTTTGTGTTGATTCTAAATTATCAGGTGTGTGAGTGTTTCTGAGTGTATGTAAATGCGTGCGTGTGTGAGAGGTGTTAGTATTTTATGTTTTACAAATTCATTGGTTTTGTTTTGCATTTAATGTTGTAAATAGATTACAGAATAATATTGCACAGTATATGATTAGATTTTTATCCAGAGGTTATGGCCGAATAAATAAACCATTTTTATTCCATTGCATTTAATTTTACATTGACAATGCTCTATCAATTTAATTTATATTTTGTTCCCAGATAATTGCATGTTAAGCTTACTTCTTTAACTTTAAATGCAAAAGGACTTATAATCCTCTCACGATAAAAAAGTGTTCTGACTTTTTTCACTGTGCAATGGGTAGTATTTACAGCTGTTAACACAATAGATTGTCAATTCAATGAGATGTGTTCAAGCTTCTGACATGTAGAGTTATCACTACTTTTAAATCCTACTAGATCTGAGAAGGGGAAAAGGTCCATATGGCTGGAACCTTCTCTATTTAAAGTCAATGCTTAACATACAAGATTATATATTTTTCTAAAGGTCTCTTTTTTTTACTGCTCGTGTGGATTTTTACCCAGATTTTTTTTATCAGTTAGAGAAAATGATAATATTTCAAGAAGTCAATTCTAATTTATTTTATTAATATTTCAGACTATGTGACATCTCACGTTTTGCCGTAACATCCCAGTTGGATGGTTTTGTAGCTGCCGCTTCTATGTAAGTATATATCTTTTATTATTTCACTATGTACTCTTTTTCTACATTTTGTCGAGACATCTATATAGCTGATTCTTTGTGTCAAAATTGTGGGTGTAGAACATTGGGAGAGGGCTCAAATTAAAGGTCTCTATCCAGTGACGGCCGGAAATATAGAAGCATTCCTAAAATTTTAACAGAAATTTAGAAGTAACATAAAATGTTCTATATAATTTGATTGTGCTATATTTACAAGTCAGTATTTAATAGATGTGGTTGGTTTTCTTTTTAGCCAGTTAACTCTGCAATGTATTGTACACTAGATTAAAACCAGGGATAACGGTTATCTATAATTGTGCTTTGGGTCAACTGTCTATATATATTGACTTGACAACTGACAAATGGAACCCTAAAATCATAAAAATATTAATCCATTTGGCTAATAAAACTGTTCGTTTTGTATAGTAATAATTCACTTTCCTAAAGTTTCATCACGATCTGATGTATAAAGGACAAATAGATAATAACAGAGATACTTTTAAAGCGAAGATATTAAGACGTACCGACATTATTAATTTGTACATCTTGATAAATAAATAATTTGATTCTTAATTTGTTTGAATGTTAAAATATGTTGTTTTACATTTTGAACTTTTTTAGGGGCTTATACACCTAGTAATTTATTAATAACTGACCAAGATGGTCTAATTCTCTGCAAAATTTCAAATTTTATACATTTACACACAAGTAACTTAAATTCTCTAAATTATTATTATCACCGCAACAGAGTATAGCTCCATAATAGTTAATAACGGTGGTCCTTCTTAAATGACAGTCACTAGTATGTCTGTGGCATGAGTCTGCCAAGGTTGCTGACCTTGCGCTACAAACTGGTTGTTAAAAGTGAGAGTTATAAGGATGTTGACTCGGGCTCCCACTATCTGTCGTGTTTATGGTTCTAAATATTGGAGTTCTCGCTGCTAAATACTTAGTATCCTGTTGTATAGTCGCGTATAAATTAATAGTTCCTAGTAAAATATACATTTTAGTATCAAAATATTAGTATTTTTTTTTGTTTGGTCACAGGTATTGGGAACATGATGGCGTCAACGAGTACATCCCAAATTGAGTGTGACCTCTGTCCAAATTACATTTTCTCAACGCCGGGCGAGTTAGAATCCCACTTTGAAGACTCCCACCCAGACAGGTTTTATTGCACCATTTGTTTCGCTCTTAGGATTGTAAGGCATTATAATGAAAGGTGGCGTTTAAATGAACACATTAGAGATTGTCATTCGGCTAAAAGTTTTCCTTGTACTTTCCCAGGCTGTGGAAAGATTTATCCTAACAAGAGAAATTTAACACAGCATTATAAATTCATCCATGTAAAGACTGATGAGCAAAAATGTCCCATTTGCAAAAAGATATTTCCACGCCGCAATGATTATTTAAGACATATTAGAACTTGCAAGAAAAAGGCTAAGCGTCAGTATAAATGTTTAGAAGAAATGTGTGAAACCACATTCTCTACACTTAAATCCTACAAAGAGCATTTAAAGGACACACACCATAAAGTGGGCAATAAATATTGCTGTCCTAATTGCGACACACTTTTCGCTAAAAAGGATAAATTAGAAGAACACATGGATGAGACCTGTACCTGTGACAACATTCTAAAAAATCCAAATATTATTCTAACTCCTGTTCAACACAAAAACATACCTTTTAAATATGCTTTATTGTGTAAATTTGCTCAAGAAGACCCCACAAAAGCCTTTGAATTTGAAAATGAATATGATTGGAGCGATATCACTTTCCCCGTTTTGAGACCGGACAATGATTTTATTGCACAGTTTGAAGCAAAAAATAATTGTAGCCTATCTATTTTCTTTATCCATGCCGGTCGAATACTCCCATGGAACCCACCCAAGGACAACGTAGACAACAACATAGACTTATTGTATGTAAATGGTACGTTCCACTATATTAAAGACTTTGACGCTCTCGTTGGACTACAACTTGGAAATTTACATCGGCGGGCTTATGTTTGTAGAAGATGTGGGCAGCGATTTTACGATAGAACTGGACTGACTGCTGTACAACAGTTGGATAGGCACAAACCTACTTGCGATCCTGATAACCCCACTAAATTCGAAATGCCCATTGGAGATAAGGCTCATATGAAATTTCAAAACTACAATAGACAGAAAATGATTAGATTTATTGCTTATTTAGATTTTGAGGCGTTAAATGTACCACAAGTTTCAACTGGCAACACTACCATTCTACAAAAACATTGCCCTTTTGCTGCATCTTACCTCCTACTGGATGAAGAAGGACAGTATACTAAACCTCTTCGAGAATACTGCGGATTGGATGCGCCACAAAAAATATTGTCTATGCTTATGGACGATGTTCGGGAAATTGAGTCTATTCTCTACAGCGATAGGATTAAGCAGATACCAGTATTAACAGAGGAACAACAGCGACAATTTGATAACTGTACAACATGTCATGTTTGTGGCAAGGGCGAATTTACACTTAACAACCCAAAATCAATTGATCATAATCATTTGACTGGCCAATATCGTGGATGTTGTCACAGGATCTGTAATCTTTTTTATAGAGATCAAAAACACATTCCAGTAGTGGTGGCTAACCTAGCGCGGTACGATTCGGCATTCATAATACCGAACCTCGGACAAGTGAAAGTCGTACCAAACACTAACGATAAATTCACATCGTTTTCTAAGACTGTGGGAAAGATGGAACTCCGTTTCATAGACTCTTTTAAGTTTATGCCTCGCAGTCTTAGTGAATTATGTAATAACCTACAGAATGATCAAAAAAAATTTGTAGGGAGTTTTTTCCTAGCGAGGAAGACTTCGACCTTATAATAAGGAAGGGTGTCTATCCTTATAATTATCTAACAGACATGTCAAAATTGAGTGAGACATCACTCCCACCAATTGAAGCATTCCACAACTCCTTGACAGATGAAGAGTTAAGTTCAGAAGAGTATGAACATGCGTGCAAGGTGTGGTCACACTTTAATATTGCTAATCTTGAAGAATATACAATGCTATATTTACGGACAGATGTGATTATCCTTGGAGATGTTTTCCAAAACTTTAGGAAGATTGTACACTCGACTTATGGTTTGGACCCTGCATATTATTTCACCGCTCCAGGTCTCGCATTTGATGCCATGCTAAAAATTACTGATGTACGGCTTGAGTTGCTAACTTGCAGAGAGATGCACGACTTCTGCAGAAGGGGGATGAGAGGTGGATTTGTAACGACACCCCTAAAGTATTGTAAAGCCAACAATTATTACATGGGGGAGTTATATAATAAGGAGGAGGCATCATCCTACATATACAACATAGACATGAACTCACTTTATGCCACAGCCATGTGCCAACCCCTTCCTTATGGAGGATTTGAATGGGCTGACATTGACGAATTGGAAGGTATCTTAGAAGCTGGCGAGGATTCAGAATTTGGAGCATTTTTAGAAGTAACCATGGAATACCCTGAACATCTCCACGAAGTCCACGGAGACTACCCTTTTCTTCCGACTCAAGAAGAAAACGAGGACGGTAATATGTGCCTCATGGCCACTGTTCATGACAAGACCAACTATGTACTGCACCATACTAGTCTACAGCTAGCTATGAAACATGGTCTTGTTCTCAAACATGTACACAGGATCCTAAAATTCAAACAATCAAAATGGTGTGAGAAATTCATCCTTTTGAATACAGAGATGCGTAAACAATCTAAAAACAAATTTGAAGAAGACTTTTACAAAGGGTTTTCAAATTCCGCATTTGGTAGATCTATAATGAAACTGGATGATCGTGTCAATATTAAGATTGCGAAGACCAATCAACAAGTGGACAAGTTCTCAAGAAGTAGACTATTTAAAGAGTTTTATGCTGTGTCAGAGGACACCCTAGTCTTCGTCATGCATAAACCCAAAATTATATTCAATACTCCAATATACATGGGTGTTGCTATATTAGACATCAGTAAAACTATAATGTATTCGTTTTATTATGACTATTTAAAACCTATGTATGGAAATAAAATTAGAATGGGGTACAGTGATACAGATAGTATTCTAGCCCACATATATACACAAGACTTGTACCAGGACCTAAAAAATAGTCCAATCTTCACCAGGCTTGACACATCCAACTACCCTAAGAATCATATTTTGTACCAGACTGGGAGACGTTTTGGTTTGGGCCTGGCAAAGGACGAAGCTGCTGGAGATTTGCCAGTAGAATATGTAGGGCTGTGCTCCAAAGTGTACAGCAAGAAGAAATTGATACTGGAGACAGGACAAATAGTGGTTTACGGTATGAAGGCTAAGGGGACACAAAAATCGATGTTGCGAAAACATGTGACCTTCGACGACTACTTCCAAAGTTTGATGTCTCGAGGGAATTTTGAAATGAAGCTCCCTTTTACACGCATTTCAAGCAGTAGAATGCAAATCACTACTGTTACAGGATTTAAAACCGCTCTACGATGTCACGATCCCAAACGTTTCCTTTGCTCTGACGGGATACACACCCTCCCCTTCGGAGACAAGAGGATTGAAGAGGAAAAGAAGAAAATAGAAGAAGAGGAGTCAGAGGCGAGAAGAGAAAATGAGTAAAAATAAAAGGGGGGGGGGGTCAATTGTAAATTTGTAAATCTTTTAAATCTTTTATCATCATTGTAACATATCCCATCTAAAATAAAGGAAGGGGGGGGGGTAATAAAACAGGCATTTATTTGTTGTTTATGTATATAATGTATAGTTTAAGCCCATATGCAAAAGTACGCGTTTTTATTGCTCAAACCTGGGGTATGATTTTGCTATCATATCAGATATAGTGTTAGGTTCAAACATATTTTTGTTTTTATTTGTTATAGAAAAAGAAGATAAATGTCCAGATCATTGTTCCAGGAAATACCCTGCACATTTAGGTGTAGGGTAAAAACATTTGCTGCATATCCTGAATCATCCACAAATTTAGAAGAGTTTCTTTACAATATAAAACCAGAAATAGTAAATACTTTCCAGCAATGCTTAGAAACACTTGGCTCTTTTAAAGCCAATTTACTAGTAGAAGTGGAGTATTTAAATGGAGACGATGTGGTGACTATAAACCTAAAAACGAAAAACAAAGGGTTTTATAATTCTAGTAATTTGCAAGAGTTAGTTGATAGTGAATTAGATAAAATCAAGAATGAAATGCGAGAGTATCAGTTAAAGGGAAGTGGGCATACATTTTCAAATGTTAAAAAAGTAGAATTACGTGTAAACAGACACTGTGTATATTGAGATTTTATTTCAGTTTATGTACATTGTAAATAATAGTCAATTTAGATTATTCCAGATTAACAAATATTTTTATTTTTATATGTACAAACAAGCTACCATTCATCTGTTAATAGCTGTAAAATTGTATGACGAATTTACATCATAGTCGCAGTTAGTCGATACATTGTGTTAAATGACACAAATTTACATCACAGTCACAGCTAGTTGTTACATAACATAAAATTTGTATAAAAATTGTGTGAAATTTGAGTAAATTTTTCACGCAAATTCGCGTCAAAGTTACAGTTAGTTGTTACATTGTGTGAAGTGTGTAAAATTTTTGTACAAATTGTGTAAAATGTGTGAAATTTTAGTAAAACATTTTTACATAAATTCACATCACGGTCAAACTTAGTTGTTATATTACATGAAATATGTGAAATTTGTGTAAAAATTGTGTGAAATGTGTGAAATTTAAGTAACTAATTCACATCAAAGTAACAGGCCACAGTCAATTGTTATGTTCGATGACATTATTAAACATTTTTAGCGAAAACATCACTAAATTTTACTTGTATAAAAGTACACAAACATGTATATTATTATTCAAACAAGACATCGTATTTCATTTAATCAATCCAGAAATTCCATGATTGATTTTCATAATTAACACAAATAGGGTAAAAACAAGTAGCAAATATTATTTTTATTTTCTTGTCGTACAGTATTGTACTTTTGTATATATGTATGTTTGAATAACTTTTCATTTAGACTAAAAGTTGTAGCTCATCATGATAATTGACTCTCAGATTTACATTGCATAGCCGTAGCGATTTGTCTATTATAATGATAACAGAAAAGTAATATTATAAATAGTTCATGTTTCAATTCAATATAATAAATGTATTTGTTATTGTATAGTACGTTCACTTGATGTTTATGACTCGAGGAGACAAATTTCAGAGTATTTGATGTAAAAACTCATATGTATTCTAGCAACAAATGTATAATAGTATTGATGACATATTGTACAATAAACCTCTTGACACCATGAAAATGTAGTACTTTTTATCCCTAGTTAAGGTTTGAAGGTGATGATTTGTAGATTTAATTCTTGCAACATTCTCATAGTAATCTTGCACAGTTTCAAGACAGATCAAATAATATAAGTCTATAGAGATGTTTTTGCTTTGACAATATCTTTACTATAACCAGAGGTATAAACAAAAATGCAAGTCACATTCTATTTCCTTGTAAAGGTCCTCTGTAACTATAAAAATATTTTGTTCTTAAATTTGATATTTGTATTAGTGTCTTCAATTTACAAGGTTGTAAGCTATTTTAAATTAATTTTTAATTTTAGAGTATTTTCTTGTAGCAAGACTTAAAATCACTTGTATCTCAAAAATGTCAAAAGATACAGCAAAATTGTTAAAATTTAAGTACATTATATAGGTTCCAACTTTTGATAAAAACAATAATACATCTAAACATTAAGAAAATTTTAAACATTATTTCATATGGATGACACTAAAGGTAAGAGGTATTTATATAATATGGTTGGAATAACATTAAAAAGAGAATGACAATATTAAACAACTCATACAACTAATGTATAGATAAGATAGAAATATAATAGATCAACTGGAAGGGGGCATGGTAGACGTACTAGCAATTAGGCATGGGGCGGGGAGTTGACAACGCACCTAAAAAAAAAGGCCGCTACAAACTATACTGACAATATCAAACAACTCATACACCTAATATATATAGATAAGACAGAAATATAATAATATAATACATCAACTAGAAAGGGGAATAGTAGATGTACTAGCAATTAGGCATGGGCGGGGAGTTGGCCCAAAAACCTCGATGCGCAAAAAACGGCGGCGACAAACTATACTACTATACATATACACATGCATGGGTCAATAAATGAAATAATTAGTTTTTTTATTTTTTGCTTAATATCGAATATATTTATAGGGAATAACTAAGAAATAAGGTTTGACAATTTTATAGGGATATTTGGGCAAAGATCAGGATTTTTGGAATTGGTGGCCAAAAAATGATCCCCATAAGAATAACATGGGAAAAACGTGTCTAAAGTGAGGTAAAACCGGCAGTTCTCCACTACTCCTGGAGGTGTACGAAAACTATCCTGTACTGTGGAACTCGGGTTTGAGTGAATATAAAAATAGGAATTTAAGAGATGCCGGATTTAAAGGTTTGGTAGACCAATTGAAAACCAATTTTCCCGAAATACCTTGGATGTGGTAAGAGCCAAAATAAAACTAATCAAAACCATTGTCAGCCAAGAATGCATTAAAATTGCGAAATCCAAAAAATCTGGTTCAGCTGCAGATGAACTGTACGAACCTAAACTTAGCTGGTTCCATGCTGCAAAGTTTTTAATGGGTCGTTCGTCCAGCAGACCTTCTACTTCAACTCTGGTAAGTAAAAACTACATTTCTTTATGTCTACACATAATTTATTAATAAAATGCTTTTATATACTATAAGTTACATATTTACATACAAATATTGCAGTAATAGTATTTTAACTGAGTACCTTCAGCATACAACATACAGGAAAGGCTAACATATTACATTTGTACAAAGTTAAAGGCTGTTCGATGGTTGATCAGCACCAATCCACTTCCATTGCCACGGTAGTGACCCTTGTTTTGAACAGAAAAAATTTTCATACTGCTCTCTAAACTTTTTGAGCTCAAGTTTGTAAGCATTTGTCGAAGTCAGTTTCGATGTCCTCAACAGACATGATGTATTGAGTGTGGTGCGCCATGTGCCTGGTATGATTGTGCATGTTGTCATGTCTTCCACATCTACAGATGAAGGATGAAGGTAATATTTCCCTGATGATTTGCGTAGCCAGTTGTGAGGTGCACAACAAGTTTTGACAACGAAATCTACAGTTTGAGGAATCAATGCAATAGGCCGTTTGAATACTCTAAATCTAGAAACTAAAATGCCGAAAGCATTTTCCGAAACTCTACGAGCTCTAGAAAGTCGATAATTGAATATTCTTTCTGAATTTGTTAAGTTACGTTTGCTGAAAGGTTTCAGTATGTCCTTTCTTAGAGGAAATGCATCATCTGCAACAACAACCGCATTCTGTGGTAAATTTATGGTGTTACGTTCCATTGCAATGTTCAATGTTGATGCTTGAAAAACTGCACCATCATTTGACTTTCCATTAGCACCGACATCTATGTATAAGAAATTGTATTCGGCATCAACTAATGCGAACAGTATGATGCTGAATGTACCCTTGTAATTGTAGTAAATCGAACCGCTCTCAGCAGGGCACTTAATTTGGACATGTTTCCCATCAATTGCTCCTATGCAATTGGGAAAGTTCCACTGCACTTCAAATTTGCGTTGCACCAATTCCCACTCTTCCTTTGTACTTGGCACCTGAAACAAAAATGTATTGCCTCAATTTTTTTCAGAATATTTGTATTATTTTGTACAGTTATTCTGTTTCATTTTAGGATAAGGAATTCCAAATTCTACCCACACTTACTGACGCATCTGGGACTGACGATATAGAGGATGTGGATTCTCCAAGTTCTCCAATTGTTCAACCACAACAAAAAATAACTAAATCTAAAACACCTGGAATGCAGCCTCCACGCTCCAAAAAGCAAAAAATATCCGAAATACATGCTGTTGAACACATAGTTGATAAACTACATGTAATATCACAAAACGTTAAGCCAGCTGGCAAAAATGGTTCAGTTAGACACACTAGTGATGAACTGTCTCATTAGTATAAAAACATTAAAACTAAGTTAAATGACAATGACGCTATTCTATGTAAAGCTGACAAAGGCAATACAACTGTAATAATGTATAAAACTGATTACAATGTCAAAGTGCAAAGTTTCATTTCTAAAAACGACATAATTGAAATAGACAAGGATCCCACGAAATCATTTCACACCAAAATAAAGAAATTGGTCAACCAGAGTAAAGTGCTATTTACTGAAGATGACATAAAATATCTACGTGTCATGAACCCATCCCCGCCCATTTTACGTGGCCTACCTAAAGTCCATAAAGAGGGTATTCCCATCAGACCCCTAGTAGACTATACAAGCGCTCCTACCTTTAAAATAGCCAAGAAATTAGAATGTTTATTGAAAGAAAATATTGTCCTTGAAAACAATCATAGCCTAAAAAAACACCTACGATTTCATAAATAAAACGAAACTTTAAACGAGACTTTAAAATAAAAATGCACCCATCTCTTGCCTCATTTGACATTGTAAACCCGTATACCAATGTCCCATTGAAAACCACATTGGACATCGTTCATGACAACCT